GAGAGAGGCAGGCTGGTCCAGATGAAGGCTTCATTACAGCAGTGAGCCTGCCAAGCTTGATATTGGTACAACAGTGAGCCAAACAGCTATTTAAGAGCTGACATTCCAGTCCTGCCTGCCTCCTGGGGCAAATGTTCTCCTGCTTTTTGTTTGGCAAGACCAGGAGCACAAATGAGAAGAGCAAAGACACTGGCTTATAGCCACAGGAGGGTCCGGGAGAGAAAGCATCCCCTCATTCCCTTACACAAAAATGTGGCAAAATTTGTGCTACGTGTTCTTGCAGTGTGACTCTTTACTTTTACGTCAACTCATTAATACTGTATGCAGTATATTGATCACAGCCATCAATGTTTTCTCACAAGATGATGCATATCATTCTAAACACCATGGTGCTTCGTAACTATTGTTACATTTATTTTGTATAAGCTTTGGCTCATGCATAGAATACAAAAGATAATATGACGTAAACCTGACATTAAAACTAACAAAAACTTCTTGTCCCCTGAATACCTCAGAATTCCCTATAAGAGTGCTTAATTAAAAACTAACAATGAGAGTTATTTTGCAGGAGATTTGCTAGAGCATAATGCTATAATCCATGATTCCAACAGCTTTTTTGTAGCTTCATTATTTCTAGAGAAAGCATTTTTTTGAACAAGCAGATTATCATTATGGCATTTTCATGGTGATTTGTGGGGGGATAAATAAAGCAGAAGTCATGGTGGAGTGAGAAAAAACGACCTCAGAGGAAACAGGGGTACTTCTGTTTTATTCCAATTTGTTTAAACCCCTAGCTGTTGCAAAAAGCTAGCTGTTGCGCACTGTGTGCTTTTATTTAAGATCTAAACTTTTTTTTCCTCACAAAAGCATTATTTTTACATTATTCTATTCAACTTTTTTCATCCCTTTTGCTTATTTCAGTTTTGAGGTGATAGATGAATGTCCACCTTTATCTGTACTTCACTCTGACTTAAAAAAATTAAACATCTGCTTTGATATAAGTATCCATCTCTGCAGGCTTGTACAGTACATTGCAGTGTCTCAGATGTACTGCTGGCACACACTGCAGTAGGCCTAACTGGACATCCACTGTCCATGTGGAAAACCTGCGGGCTAGCTGTCATTCCTCGTCTCTGTACTCAAACTGCACAGTGGGCAAGCCCGTTACCTCTCAGCCTTACCGGCTTTCTGACAGCTTCTTATTTTGGAATTTGAAAAGAGCTTGGCATTTTGTTGTGTGTGTGTGCAGATTTCATTGAATGTTGCAAGCTATGGGTCAGCTGTGTCATTTCTTTTAAAGAGCACCTCTGTCCACAAGGTAGAAACAATCTGAACAATGTGAAAAGCAATTCTTTCACTCTTCTCAACTACTGTGCAAAATGACTGCTAGCACTACTTCTGACACTAGGCTGGAACTGCAAGGAATGTGGAAAGCTTACATGTGTAATCTTGTATTTCTAGGGCATGGGAAGGTGGACATAGAAAATCGCCTTTTGAAAAAGATCAGAAATGTCTCAAATGCGTACATGCACATTGTTTTTAATTTGTCTTGAATTTATCATCTTAACCTTTTTCTGACATGTGCGGCAGATGACTTTTAACATGATGTGATCCCCACAGTGATGCAGGTATTTCCAGAACAGTCTAGCCTCCGGTATTCTGATTTTGTTTTCTGCCCGGTGTGATGATGTCGTTTTGAAATGGTGTGACATGGCTCAACCTCACACAGGCACCGATATAAATTCTTTCTTTTTTTTCACCATGAGTATAATACTGCAAAACCTGGAAGGCAGATTCGCTCACCTAGGTGTTATGCATTTTGGAGTGGTTAAGTTCTGTTTGGTATTCACTTTCTAATACAACAAAGTGTCCTTAATGTAATGTACTGTAATTATCAATGAAGTAGTACATAGTACAGTATGTGCAAACCTAAAAGTTATATTTTTCTCATGTGTCAGCAAACATGCTATTGCCTGATAAAGACCTATAATGTAATGTTATGAACAAGGTATACTGGTGATAGTCCATTCATTTACGGCCACAAAAATGAAGATGAAAAATATTGTTTAGACAGGCTGCACAATATATGCATTGGACTGCTTTATTACCACTTTCCCGGATAACTGCTTAACAGATGCTAACCATTTCCCAGGATTGACTTGATAGCATTTATCACAAGTTACGCAATAAATATACACTGACACTTCACATGAAGCAGTTCATAAAGAAAAGTGAAAGGAAATGGCCTTATTAAACATGTGTAAATACACTAGTACTCAAAGTTATGGGAACACATATAAATTTAACTGAAATCCTTCTCCATTGGGTCATACGAAGTTTTGAAATGAAAAAAATAAAGCTGACCGTTTATTGAACTTTAATCTCGGCTACTCCCATGAACCTCTAACTTCTTTTAAAGGAATGCCCACTCTTCTCACAGTCAGAAGTCTATAGTGCCTTCTTAAAATTTCACAAGAGAATCATATAAAAACAAAGAAACATCCCAGCAGTTTGTTTTTTTTTTAAGACAGAGCCTGAAAAAATATGGATAGGGAATGCATGATGAGTAACTTATGGTGGCTCCAGGGAAGGTGTAAAACATAATATTGTCAATGTACCTCTGTAATTACCCTTAACAAGGAAGGAAACTGCAAGAAAAACAAATGTTATTTTTAATAAAGTACAGAGTATAGACAACAGATATAGAAGAAATAGCAGCAATGCAAAACAATGGGTCAGGGCAGAGTTTAAAGTTAATCATTTGCAAGCCTATACTTGTCATGTTCTTGATTTTTAGAAATCCCACAGCATGAAAGAAAACAGTAAGGGGACATTACTAATAAGCTTGCATGATGGGCAGACAGCTGGAATATTTTTGCTCACACAAGAGAACACCTAAAATATCTGGAATGGGTGCTGAACCATGAAGATCAATCATAGGAGTAATGGTGAAGATAAAAAATGTTTAAATGTATAAGTGCCAAGTAGAGGAGAGCATCTGAGCAGCAAAACAACTGAGAAATTGTCAGACTGTTGTACAAAACTTACAGAAAACACCGGTCATGTGAAGCTTAGTGATACTTTGCAAAAACATGATGCATACAATGTGTAAACAGTATATTTACATATATTTTGTCTTTATGTATGTAAAATGTTGTAACATGCATGCCATTCAAATCTTAATTCTCCAGCCTCTGACCATTCAGACTATGAACCACATCTTCAATGAAATGCCATAGGGTGAGCATGACAGAAAAGACAAAAAGAAGATTACAACCAGCACAAATATGCTCTAGGATAAAATTAGGTGTATTCAGATGAACTGTTATAACTGACAAACTGCTCAGATTGTGGACAGCAATGATTGTTAACAAACTGGTCCTAATGACAGTACAGTATATCTTCTGCTAGCATGTACTGTACATATAAATGTTCCAAGTATACACATAAATCATCTTGTAATCTTGTACTAAAAAATATACATGCATTTAGTATGTTCTTATAATGTTTTACAAAAATATGTATTTAGTACAACCCGTGAAGATACACTGTTTTACATTAATTTGTAAACAAAACTTTTCTGTTGGATAGAGTTCACTTTAAAATGGGTTTTAATTGGGGAAAAAGGGAACGAAAAGCTGTTTTCCACATCCCTACTCTCGTTATTAGAGACAGCTGTGACAGTCTTGGGAAATGTAACTCTGCCCACAGAAAGTCAGCCTTGGCATACTTGACCTTTCATAGCTTTGTACTATAGTGTGACACAAGCAATGAGAACAAAAGTAACAGTACTTCACTGTGCATTTATTTAGTTATTTTAAACAGAAGCTTTCTTGTTCTGGCAAATGAAACATACTGTAGTCCCTTTGCAGGCACTCAAAATACACTGAACAAGTCACTGCTTAACTTATACTACAGTATATTCAACCTTTCTGGATAACAAATAAAGTGTAGTGATTCAAACACAGGAAATTGGATTAAATTTGATATACACACCTTATAAGTAGTGTCTTTTCCCCTATTATATTCTTTTTATTTTTCATAAATACAATCCATTATTCCTATGTGTATATTGTTAAAATCCACAGCCTACTAAAATCCATTACATTCTGCAGGGAAAAAACACTATTGCGGTTAAATTAAATTTCCTTTAAGTTCATACTAAGTGTATTTATGTTCCTGCTTTGTTGCAAATCCGATATAATTTTGTTGATAGCTGATAAGGATTGAAACCTTTAAGCCCAGGGAAAAGCCCCCACTGTCAAGTGATTAAAGTTATTGAGGCAGCAAAGAATAAAAGTGTCTCAGTGAGACTTAGGTGCTGCATTATAGATTACAGAAGGAGGAAGAACAAAGATGTTTACAAAAGTGAACAAAAGGTTTCGTTGAGCAAGAAAGAATAAATATTCCATTAGACACTGCAATGTGAAGTGTTAAAATAAGCACATTTGTTTACGGAACAAAATATTTATTTCAGTTCAGTGTTTCCATTGGCTGAATATACAGTATATGTGCCTAGCTGGACAGATTAATTAAAAAACAAAGTAATTCATATTTCCATTCAATTCTTTCAAAGCAATTAGTTACACATTACTTTGCAATTCAATAAAATATCACAAATTAGTGGCTCTTTTTTCTGAAATAAATATTAATTGTGGATTAATATTAATGATAAAAAAGGAAACCTCACATTTAAGCACTGTAATATAAATGTACAGTAGATTGTTTCAAGTAGGCTTCATTACCTACACATCATTTAAGTGGATGCAAGAAAATTCAGAGGTATAAAAAAAAATACTTACTGTACAAATGTGTCATTTTAAAATTCCAGTACACTAAAATGTATTAAATGTAAAGCAAATACAAGAAAAAAATAGTATTTCTTATGAAGCCTCAGTAAAACTACTTTTTGATCACAGGGTCATAAATGTACATCATAAAAGATGTAAATTGCATTTTTTTCAGTTCACATGTTAAGTCTTTCTCAGAGTATAACTCACCTTCCCCACAAGTTCAGACACCTTGAGAATGGGCTTGCCTTTCTGATGGCATTGGGTAGGAGGGGACTGTCCATCCCAGTCCTTCAGCTCCTCGATGCTCTCTAGGTAGAGCAGGGCCTTCAGCCCTGTGCAGTAATCCTCAATCAGTGTGAAGTCCTGATTCTGAACAGCACTGCACACCTATCAACACAGAATTGCATACTAGTGAGGCATGGAAAAGGTACAGAAGGAAATAATGTAGAATGTTATGGTCTTGGCTCCTTGGGGAAATATGGATTATACAGTCTTGAACAACTCTGGGAAAACTGAAACGGTTATACAGCATCCACGAGATGCTTCTGTGAAGCACTTTTTCTGGCACAAAGAGAGACAAGAAGAGCAGTTGCAGGCAGCTAGTGTACAGTGCATGTCATGGTAGTCTGACCTCTTATGATTTTAAATGCCATTGACTTCTATCTTCTTGATTTATCAATATAAACATTTTTAATAAAGACCTCCTAATAGATGCATTGCCTGTGAAACAAAAAAATAAACTGGTTGTAGTTGGCTTAATCCAAACCCGAACCCTAAATGTAGAATTCTAAAAAGAAGTAGCTCTACCCCCTGTTGTTGAAACTAATTTTGCTAGCCCAGTGTGCAGAACAGGAGCAAAGGCAACTTTTCCATGGATAAGGCTTGTGAAAAGCAGAGAATTGGGGTGCTGAAGAGCAAATTAATGAACACTATCAGAACTGGGATGAGATGTCATATTAGCATAGGACCTGTGTTGATGCTTTTGATTGATGGGTGGAGTATGCTTTCAGGAATAACTCCTTAGTTTCCATTCTTGGATCCTTAGTTGAAGTAATCATTAAATGAATCGCTTGCTTAAACAGAATGATTCATTTGTACAAGAACAGTTTATTGGTAGCAGTGATTTATTTGTTCATAAATCTATGTGGTAGCATACTACTTCTAAAATATATTTATTTTAATAATATGACCTCCTTGAACCTAAGCCACTGGAAACAATGAGAAATAATTAAGTCATGAACTTATGATTCACATCAAAAACAGATGAAGGAAAAACTAGACATCACTGCTTTAATTTTAAAAATATTCCTTCTCATGAAACACAACCACCATTTGAAATGCAGAACATCAGACAAAAGAGAAGAATATTGACTAGCATAAAAGGAAATTAGAGAGATATTGTGATATATGTACTTCCTTTCCAGAGGAAAGGAAGTACATATAGGAAGCATTCTCTGGAAAAAGCATTCCAGAGAACGCTTATTAGAATTACAGTATACCCTGTTTTTTTATGCCCTATGGTGGGTTTTATCAAAGATTTATCAAATCTACTTCTTACAAATGAGATGCTTAAGCCAGCAATTTCTTCATTACTAGCTTGTTCAGATAGTCCTTGGAAATGTGGTGCTGTTTGCCGTTTCTCCTTATATACAAGGTGAAGAATCTGCTATTTGTCTCTGTCTAATCACTCACAATAAAGCTATTTTATAAAAAAATATATACATTTTGTAGCACAACTTACATTGCTCTGCTGAGACAAATGTCTGTACCAAATAAATTTCATTATTACCACAAATGGGTGCAGTTGTTTTTAGCCTGTACGTTGTATTGCTTAAGTTTGACCTTAAGCTAACTGAAAAAGAATGCAAAATATAAATGGTGTGATACTGTAATTTTTGGTGGTGTTACTTTAGGGAACCAGCAATGTCAATGAACATAAAGGAACTTCAGAAAACAAAGCTATCTCACAACAAAAATGTGTTCGGAAATTAAGAATTTCACAACTTGATCAAAACATTGAAAGAGTATCGAACAACACATTGTACTGCCAACAACATTTGCTTGAGTACTACTGTTCAGACTAAGCAAGACGTCTTAGAAGTGAGAGAAAATGGGAATGTTTGACAGGCAGCCACACATCTATTTTAAACATCTCTGCAACTGTTATATGAAAAAAAGAACAAAAATATCCTGCAACACTGACAGCAATATGGTATCAGGAAATTAAACAGAAAATACATCTGTACATTCAGAGTCATAACACCTTAATGTCTTATCGTCTACTGTATACTAAAGGTTTTTTCTCTGATGCCAAATCTGTAAAATATCTAGGAAATCTTATTTCTTGTTACATTTACAGCTGTTCTATTTATTTAAAAAGAAATTTCAGAGTGAAAGCCCCATGCAGAGATAATAGATTTATTTACTCTAACCACTTCTTGTTCACAGCAATGTTTTCATTAGTATTCTGATTTGCATAGAACTTACTATTGAGAGCTGTTAAGACAGGAGTATGTCTATATGCGTATTGTTAAAAATTTTGTAATTCTGAAAACAAAAGCAGAACTAGGTGAGAATAAGGCAAAATATAAGTGGGACAATTTAACAATTCACTTATAAATATGCCAATGATGAGCCTGGCTAGAAAAGCAGTCTTCACATTAAGAGGTAACTAAACATTGCCTGTTGTTATTAAAATTCAAGGCTCAAAACACTGAAATAGTTTATTTGAAAAGGGGGTGTGGGGAGCAGATTCATAAAATAAGCTCATGAGCATATCTCTATAAAGCTCATTTATATTAGACAAATTCTATTTCTCCAGAGAAATACAGTAAGCATTAATTAGAGTTTTTATACCTCCCACAGACTAAGAGATTTTACAGCAATTATTGGCGTCAACTGATTTTTTCTAAAGGTTGTTTAAGTGTAAACATGAATTTCATTCTAACTTAGAAACAGCTATGAAGTCTAAAGTAATATACTCTAGCTTCATCCTTATATCCCATAGTAACTATCACCACCATATTTATAATCATATCATGTCTTAGTAGCCAAAAAGTAGTAAGATTTGTGACATTTTCAACATTAACACAATTATTTGTTGAAATATGTTCACTTTTGTTTTAGAATCAGCGAAGCATGAACTAAGTTCAGCCACTGCTTATTTGCATTCTGCCTTAAGACTCAAGATCCAGAAAACACAGGGTGTGTCTCCAAAATGGTCTATGCATAAATCTTGCTGTTATAGCTGAAGCACTCCATTCATTTGCTTCAAAACATCAAAGATGTGGTGCCCTCGTACATTGCATTTAGTACTAATGTAACTGACTCCCAGAATAAATCGAAGTGAGAATTTCTAACTAGTTTCCAGGCAATTGAGACAGCAGGCTCTTTCATCTGCTCTGTAACTCTGGCAATGCATTGATATAAACTCCTTCTGAGATCTCAAATGCTTTTATATTCCCTGGTCTCTCTGACAGCTTTTTTATTTCAAGTGATAAAATTCTAGCATTTAGCAGAACACCATCTCACTTCCACCCAAAATGTGAAAGTTTAATACAGCCAAACAACAAAATGGTACTTAAAGCAAGTTTTTGCAGTCTTTTGTAGTCTCAAATGTGATAACAGATGCACATCTACTTTTCTAGTAAAGGATGGTGCATAATTTGGGGGTGGCTTAATAGACAGCATAAACTGACATTTTACAATATGGGAGAATCAGAAGCAGATAGATATGCAATATCTAATATATTGTTTTTGAAAGGTACAAATGGTTAGAGAAATGAAAGTAGTAATCACTACTAAAGCCATTCTTATACAATATTTAAAAATGTTCTATACTGAAAAGATGTCATCTTAAGAATTAATAACTTTAAAGTTATGTGAAGACAAATATGCTGATCTTGCAATTAATTTTGAACATATAAAAAAATGTGTTATGTTACTATTCTGCCCATCTAGCCTGTTTGGTAATCAGTAAGTAAGTGATCTGAGAAAGATGCAGTAATTTCTTGAAAAAAGCCAGGGTATCGGCTTCAACAACATAGCTGGATATCTTATTACATACTGTATTCTCACAACCCCCTGTGTAAAAAAGCATTTCCTTTTATCAGATTTAAATGCACTTCCACGTAGCTTCCACTTGTGACTTCTGGTTCGTGTTTCGCTGTTCATACTGAAGAAGTTCACGGGTTTGACTTTGTTAATCCCTTTGAGGACTTTGAACGTGGATCAGGTCCAATTATAGTAATCTCTATTTGAGACTTAAAAGATTCAGTTCTTCCAACCTGTCAGTGTAGGACATTTGTTTTACCTCTGGACTGATTCTAGGGCCGCATTATCTTTATTTTAACATTCTGACCCAAATTGTACACAAGAGTCTTATTGAGGCATTACTAGTGCATTGTACATGTTAACATCCCTTGATTTCAATTCTGTTATTTTAAATAAAGACAGTATCCTTTGTTCACCTTATTACTGCTTTAACACATTATCAAGATGTAAATGCTGTATCAACATCAGTAAACACCTACTGTACAAGTAAAGTAAGTCTTTTTCATACATACATCTCCTTCAAGCTCAGCATTTCTCATTTTGGCTTTATAGTTTATGTTTTTGCCTACTGTGTGCAATATTCTACACTTGTTGACATTAAACATAATCTGCCTGCTGTTTGCACAGTCTTAGATGTTATCTTAATCCTTTTCAATTTCATGTGTTGGTTCAACAATGTTTGCTAATCCTCCTATTTTGCTATTGTTTGCAAACTTGACTATAATACTAACTATACCATCTACTGTTGATATACAATATACTGTAGATTATCAATATTAATTAAGAGAAGCAGTGGTTCTAGTACAGTCCCCTGTGATACACCACTAATTACTAATTATCACTGAGTATCTATATTATCCCCTTATTTCCTTTTTACCCACTTTTTTACCACTTTCTCATTTTATACGTAACTTCATCAAAAGCCTTCTGAAAATCTAAAAACAGCAAGCTGTATGCCCTGTGTGTGTTCATTACTGTTGTTGTTTGTTAAAAAAACTCCCTTTACACTCCGTTCTTCTAAAAATATTACAGTACATTCAAGTCCTATTCTCTCCTGTTGTCTGCCTCAATTATTCATTTTATTTGCTTGCACTTTTAAAGTCGCAATGTCAAATGCAAAATGGATTTGTGTGAGAGAAAAATGGCCTTACTTCTTTACAAAGTCTAAGAATATGATCTTCAGAATATCTGCACGGTGATTCTTGAAAAGTTTTACGGCTAACACCCACCACATCACCATACCACCTTATCATCAGTTACCTCAGATTTTCACACAACCCTTTTTGCTCACATTACAAATTACAAATGATTACATTTGTACAGATGTATCTTTCTCCTCAGTTATCTGTAGCTTGTCTGAATATAAGTAGACCACATCGATTATTGTGCCAAACATCTTCCCTCACTGTACAGCTAGATCATGTGCTATGAAGTACTTGGATTTCATAATCTAACAAGGGCTCTATACAATCAACTTGTTACGAATGCTTATGTGTTACTGTAGTTTTAAGGCATCAACCATTTGGGAAATAGGCGGATACACTCGAACAGTGATATTTAAACTTGTTAAATTTTGCTTGACGGAAACTGAACTCTAAAAATTGATTGAATTTGAATCTAATCACATAGAGCTTTCCAAGTGGCCATTTGATATATGTAGGGATGAAATAAGCATCTTCTACAAGCTAGCCAACAATTGTGTTTTATTGTTTCTGTCTTTCCTGTAAGTCAGTAAGAAATAATTGCTAAGAATACCTATGAAAAAGGGCTAGAGAAGCCATTGGTCTCACCAAGCAGGGCAAAACCTCCTGAGGTAATTGCAAATGAATTTTTTTAGTAATGAATTAACTCCAGAGTATTGATCTATAAGTGGATCATGTCATCTCCTCAGTAAAGCATGTGCTTCGTAATTCTGCACAGTGTTGATAGTCTTGTTCCAATTACACTTTTATACATTTTAAAAGAGTAATGTCCAGCAGCCACATCTTGGCTGGTATCTGTCCTTACGTGCTGTATGGAAAGGTTTCCATTTTTCTTTTTTTTCAGATGGAAAAACAGGAACAATTATTTTCAGCTTTAGTTAGTAGCTAAAAATTCAGCTATTGACCTTGAATTTTAACCTTATCCTCAACAGTGCTATTTATTTGGGTTACAGTTGTAGCATTGTGGGATGTGGAGAAGCTGTATCACTGCCCATTTGCTGAATGAGCCAGAAAGAAGCTACAGTACAAACTACAATTTCAAGAATCCTGTCCCTTCAAAGTACTCGGCAATCATGATGAAGTGTCTGCAATATATAAAAGGCAGGGAAATATAGTTTTCTGATGTCATGCAGGAGACCGGAACAGAAATGTATGGGTGTAAACTGTTATTTTCTACACTGGAGTTGGAAGAGATCTATGACAGTTAGAGAAGGAAGTCTGTCTGACTGAAGACTGAGGGGACTGTGGGAAGTAAATGTATTCTGTTGAGACTCTGACAGTGGGACAGGGAAAAAAAAAGAAAGAAAGAGCCTTCCTCAGGGAGGAATTAGAAAGCAAACACTAGTGTTCTAGTGTGAACCAACTTGGAGTGACAAGAAACTGAGGGGAAGAAAGATATGATAGATCATTTTGCCACCGGACTTTTGATTTAAAGCAAAGAGTGTTTGAGGTTTGAGGGTTGAAACCCAGACTGACTGTCCCATGCTGAAAGAGGAACTCAATAAGTGACTTAACTAAACAGAACAAGGGTTTTTTTTTTTCATTTTATGGCTGAACTGATGCTGCTCTTATGTAACACATACATAAAGGACTGTCCTGTTTAATTAACTCCTTTGTCAGACTGCACAAGTATCAGTATCCCAAAATAGACACCTATATTAACTTTCTGGTGTAAACTGGGACGTAACACATACATCACTGAATATACAGTGAGCTCAATAATTATTGGCACTCTCGATAAAGCTGTACAAAAAAGCTGTAAAAAACAAACAGCACAGATAATGAGCTACATTTTATGCCCCAGAAAATGAGAAGACTACAGGCTTTTAGAAAACTACTTTTATTCTCATACAATTAGAACACATTTTATATGGCTTTTTTTGTAAATCTGAAGGGTGTCAATAATTATGATAATGTATGGTCCAATATGGCACTTTATAATAAAGACAAAAATGTGTGGAAATAGTTTTACATTCTGTTTTTGGGCTTTTCAAATAATGTTGTCTTTAATAAGAGTAAGTATGTTTGGGAAGAATTATCATTTCCATATTTATAATACACAGTAAATGTTGTGCAGAAGGAATTGGGATGTGCTGTATGGTTTATTCTCTCTCTTCATAAAAACGTGCTTAAATCCTTAACTGAAGAAAGTAAATGAAGTTGCTTGATAAGTGAAATGGCACCCTAATTTGAAACATTCATGACTTTTTCAAGCATCAGGGTTCATACTGTATATGTTTTTGGTAAAGACAAACCTATATGAGGTTTTTGCCAACTAGGATTATGGCACAAACAAGGCTTTGGCTATTTCTAAATGTATGGTAAAATAAATAATCACAGTTTACAACAATAAAGGAGTTCACATAAATAGGCTGGAGATTGCTTATCTTGATTAGTAGAGCTCATGATGGGACATTGAATTCAGTAAAATATGTTTTGAAGTTTCTGTTGATTAATGCAATTTGTGAATGTCCTATACATTTTCACTGAAATCCTGTGATACATACAAGTTCACATTTCTCAATGACATGTCAGTACACTGGCGCCAGGTCATGACAGTTTGATTTCTTTCCGATTTGAGATTCCATTATTTTAAAAAAAAAACAATATCTTAAAAGGTTTTGTGAATTTAAGTTGATTGACATCTCTTGAAATCCCACTCACTGCCCACGGTAATTTTCCATTCAGCTCCGATTAGCTCTGCTTTGCAAGGGAATGTGAGTAAACAGGAAAAAAATGAAAGCAGGGATTTTGCAAAGTCCCTAAATATTTCAGTAAATAGGTTAAATCATTGTTTAAATATAGGGGTTCACATTTGTATTGAAATATATGCAGTATATAGCCACATTTCCAAATTTTTATTCATGTATCCCTTACAATTAAAAGACTGTATATATGAAGCAAAAAATAAAATAAAAGCTAATAATAGAGCCCTGAACCTTAAAAGGACTAATCCATTTAGGAGGAAGATACTGTAGCTGGTCCAGTGTTGTTTAAAACAAAACATTGACATAGGTCATAGATGTTTGTCAGGGCATAAATACCACAAAAATGATAACTAAACATACACTGTATGTATACATTTATGCATACTAAAACAATACTGCAATTTGTAGTCTGACATCTATTGCAACCGTTATTTTCAAACTGTGAGTAGCTTAACCCATAATAAAGTAATCCAAAAAAGTGATCCTAAAGAAAATTCTACCTAATTAGTCAAAAAAGATGTTTTGCTAATTACAACATAATGAATTAGTGATTTCTTTTCCTTCCCCACTTTCCCTTGAGTGCCAGACAAATGAGTTACCAGTGGATGCAGATCAGGCCTTTTACTTCAATAGTTCCTTAATCACCTACAGGCATTTGGAATGTTTGAAGGGACACAAAAGAGTCAAGACCTCTTCCTTATGTCTTTGTAAAACAAGGCCAAAGCTCAGATTAAATGAAAAATTTCAACCCACCTGCCAGCAGCCAATTGTAGAAGTGCCACTTGATGGAGGCTATCTGCTCACCAGAGGCTTCTTGCATCTCTCAGATCTAAAGCCCCTTTAAGTTACTGGTTTTTTTTACAATTGATTGGTGAGTGAAGGACTGAATTTAATGCAGGCCCAAACCACATTTTAGGACAAATTAATCTTGCATAAAAATTTAATAGCAAAGACTTTACAGCCTAGTTTCAAAAGCTCCTACATAAATATATACCAGAATATACAGTAAAAGATTTATCAGCAAAAAATATATATTTCCTCAAAAGAAAAAAATACAGCAGAATGGAATATACTGAAAAATGGTTTTGATTGCAGATTTAATTGTGTCCTCGTTTTGTGAACTGGAAAATCCTGAAAAGGAAGATTACTGTTGTTCACAAACACCCTCTGCAGAAGATTAAATAAATATTTGCCTTCCTTACACATGAAGCAAATAACCTACAGTATAACCACATTTTTAAAAAGGTAATTATATTTACACAGCACTAAAATGTTACACATGCAGCAGCCAAGTCAGGCAGAAAAGGTTTTTTATTTACCATACTGTACAAACCTATTTGCTGAATATTGGACTGTCTGTATTATAAATAAACATTTGACAAAATAAGAAGGAGAAAACTGCTCCTTTTCTAAACCCCTTTTCTATTTATATGAATTTTAAGAAAATGAATTTTATAAGCTTTTAAATCTAAATACCCAATAAAGAAAATCTCATTGTAATAAAGTTTCACTTTTTTGCAAAGCCTTTTGCAGAAAGACTTATGAAGCCTCCCCAGATCATACAGGTTAAGATCTTGCTATGTGTATTTAGGGGAAAAGGTTTAAAAGAATTAAAATGTATTCAAAACTGAGAAGGTATTTATTCTCAAAGTACTACTGTTCTTTGCACATGCTGGGTCTGAAATAAACTATCATAACAGGTACAAAAAAGGATATGAAGCTTGAGTTTAGGCTCTAAAGCAGTTACAAACTTTCTCATACCCTTCTCTAAAGTTAATTGTTTTTTATACTATGAGCTTCATCAAAAACAGTGGACTATCTATCTTGACAAAAAGAAAACTACACATCTTTTCATTAAAGTTTTATGAAGGGTAATCATAGAACAGGCTGAGAAAGCACAGATTCTCTGAAATAAAATACTGAATGAGAAAGGCCCTGTAACTACCTCATAGTCCTTCATTTACAACTCCCAGTCCCTACAGTACGTACAAAACTAGCACATAAAAGCAAATTACTTGGACTATTTTCTCTATTGAAATGGTGAATTGAATTAAAAGTTACCTGCAATACTGAAGCACCGGCTTGAAGAAATTGCAATCCAGCCTCAGCTGAATCAATTCCTCCGGTTGCTAGGATAGGAAACCCTGGCAAAGCCCTGGCAATGGCAGACACTGCCCGAAGTGCTATTGGTCTAATGGCATTTCCTGCACAAAATTAAAAGAAGAAAATGTTTACGTTAATCAAAATACCCACATGGCAGTCTTTGATGTTCCCCTGTGCAATAATTGAATACTTTGATTTAATAATGTAATTTCATTTTTAATTATTTATCAATGAAACACTTTGCATCCTTTTAATGTCTTGTCATGCAAAGGATTTATGCTGTCCGCGAATATTCTTTTCTTCTTTAATTCCCATAGATGCCAGGTGTTTAATATTCTAGGAGTAACTCCTTTTTTTTTTCTCTACAGAAGGAACAGGCCTGCGTTTAAAAAAAAAAAACATATTTCATTTCATCAGCTTCTAGGCTCCACTTCCTCATTTTCCATATTCAAACCTACAGGATCAATACCAGACTCTAGTGAAGATTTATACCTCATTTTACAGATTTTGATTACTGCTGGTTTTAGAAACTACTAACACCATTCCTGTTATGCAATTGTCACAATGCGAATACATTTGTATTGCCTGCAAGATTTAGTAAGCAGTAATAAGATCGTGTTAATACATGTTTAGCAAACATTAGTGAGGTAATACTCCACTAAGTATTTTTACATGCTTTACATAATGCAACAGTAGGCCAACCCAGATTGCTGGTAATCAGGGTCTATGAAAGCAGTTGTCAACATTTTTAAGAAGAGATTGAGGTGGCACTGGGGGAATTTGGTTATTGAACTAAAATGACAAGTGTGCATTTTTAATGGACTTCACACCAATGGGCTGCATTGTGCCCTTCATTTAAAACAAATTCTGCTCAGGAAAATAAATCTTAAAGAAGAAATGAAAGCTACAGTATGTTGTACAGAGCGACATTTGGAGATAGCCCTCTCAAGACTGTTGTTTCTTCTAATATTAGTACATAATTTATTTACCTGTGCTCCAATGTCCCTAATGAATTAAAGCCTCTACTCCAATCATGCTGACAGATGGAAGTGTTTATCACATTAGATTTAACCTTGTTTAGCAAACAGGTTTCCTTTCATTGATCACAGCTACACATTGTCTACACTAATTTTGCTTTCTTGCCTCAAAAGTCCTGTTGCAGGACTTCAGAGAATGACAGCTTTACTGTGCATCATAAACAAGTTTATTATTAACATAATACTAAAAAGGGGAAGGCAGATTGAGTCACAAGACTTACTTTTATATCATATTTGAGTGGTTAATGGTCAAAATACCTCTGTTTTCTGTTTCTTTGAATCAGTGGTTCTTCGAGTTGAATTATTCATTAAAACGCTATTGTAATATCTCATTAATTTCCAAATGTAGCAGCATAAATAAGAATAGCATTTGGAAGGCAAATTCAAAATGAGAACATCCTCTTACTTAATCTATTTCATATAGATGGTGTATCAGACACTAGTGAATGGTGATATATAACTGTTGCCCCACAGGGGTGGTGAGCTAAACATGTATTCTGGATAATGCTGACAGGAAAGGGCAAGCAGATGGAAATCAGAGCTAATAACTGCACTCACCACGTCTGTGGCTTTTAACATTTTTTGCACTCTGGTTATAAACCTTGCTTGAGGATCATGAAGTAGAAAATACATTGCTGGCCTCTGACTATAAGAAACCCATAAGCTACTTATACACCTCACATTGACAAAATCTAAAGGGCAAGCCATTTCACAAAAATCCAGCAGTGCCATACAGGTATTGCACAGACTTTTTATATTCATAATATGCTGTCTTATATCTAAGTGATATTAAAACTTTTTCTAAGACTACATACGGGCACAGAGTAGAGTAAGAGATGACAGTTTAATTAGACATGTTTATAGTCCTCTTATTACTATGAAAATGATATTATCAACCAGTCAACTTCAAGTAAATAAATGGTCCCTTCTGACAGTAGATACCTGTATCTCCTTTATTACCGCTCTATTGCTATGCATGCTAACCACCAGAAATCTCAAATTATATATTTAAGCTTACAAAGCATATGGATCCAATGGTGTTATGTTTTTTATTTCAGTTTGAAATGTTTTACTGAGTCGAATGATGATAAATTAGAAAGTTAAGGACAAGACACTGTGCATTGTTCTGTTCTGTCCATGCAGTGTTTTTTTTTTTTACAGAAATACAATTATATGGTGATCTTCAACTGAACTTTTAACTATACTGCTTGAAGATAAAAGTTAATCCTGATTAATCTGTTTGCTACAGCAGGTAGTATAAAAATGTTTACTTGGATGTGTAAAGAAACTAATTACGGCACTCATGGGCAACACCTGGCAATGAGTTAACTAGATTTCATTAGGAATTGTCATAGATGAGCTACCACAACATTTCATATTGGTTTCTTCTCATCCAACCCAAACTATTAATAACAGATTATAACTAAAAAGTCCTTACAACTTTTATGGACACTCCACTCAAAGAACTTTACAGGAAATGGGGACTCCCCTCCACCACCACTACTGTGTAGCATCCACCAAGATGATGCAACGGCAACTAAGTCCATTCAGTATGCTCATCACACATCAGCTATCAGTGGGGAGGAGAACAGAGTGATGAATCCAGATTACAGATGGGGGTTATTAGGAGGCCCTGATTGGCATAAAGATAAAGTTATTATATCTGTACAAAACACTAGTGTCAGTAAATTGTTGATGCTCTTAATTGTAGAATTCTAGGACTTAAACAGCAGTGCAGCTCTTTAGAAAACATTATTACCATATTGCAGGGGTGAAGTGGGTGGCACAAAGGCTTTGTGTTTAGCACTGCTGTCTCACAGTTTTAGGGTTTGGGGTTCAGGTCTGGACTGGAGTTCTTGCCTGTATGATGCTTGCTTGTCCTCTCAATTCTCATGTGCTGAGTAGTAATATTTTTTCCACCAGAAGGAATTTCTTCAAAAGACAAGCATCAAACACTTGATTAGCTACTCTAAATTACCCCCCTAGGGTTTTAATGAAGTGTTACTTCTGTTTACTTTAACTTCACCCCTTTTTCCAGTGTAATTTTAAAAGAGCCTTTCTAATTTGTATATCAATGCATTATAAAGGTACTAACACTCATAACTGTAGGAGCTGCATTTGCCTGAAAGCATAAGATTCTGGTTGTTAGAACGGAACATGTAATGAGGATTTTACAGCACTAACTGGGTTAGAAATAAATACTTTATCACATACACAAAAAACAAGCGAGTGTACCCCTGATCGTAAATCCACAAGTGGAAAACATTGAAATAGTTGTGAGAAAATACTGTCGAACTACCGTGAACATTGTGGCTTGTAAATCATCTGTTATGGCACAACCGAATACTTATTGAAAACTGCCATCTGCAAACATTTAATAGAATGAAAATGTTTCATGCTGTAATTACAATTTGACAGAGGCATTCATGTGCACTAATATTCCCCTGGAAATAGTTGACCATACCAAGCATATTTTTTACAAATGGAATAAATGGAGTGGCTGTTTCACAGCAAATTAAGTGACAAAACAGTATTTTTCAACACACAAAAACAAACTTAAAGCTCTGATCAAAATGTTTGACTTACTGACAAATTTGTACAATAGATGTCCAGGACAAACAAGTACGAGAGAAATGACAGTTATTCTATCAGACAGAGTTTATCCGCTCTCTGTGAATTACTCCTCAGTGACACGGGGCATTATGGAATGCTGAATGGCATTTGAAGAAGACTTTAATAAATGTGACCGGATTTGACTCAGATCATGCCAGTTACATGATCACGGTATACAATGACATCCTTGTTACCAAATTCAGTACATTTGAAATGTTGTGCCCTTGGCCCTTGGACATTTAATTTCTTGTTCTAACAAGGACTCTGAAGAGTTAATTAAGCCAGATATCTCTTTTCTAAATCCATGTTAACAATCCCCCAGAATGCTTTTTCCATATTAAATGATCCTCTAGTTTGGTTCCAATAATAGTTTCCATAGTGTGGCTTGGCAGCAGATCGTTGTCTGACCGGAAGGCGTCACTGGGGGTGATCAGCTCAGCCCAGTCCATCACTGGAATACATCTCCCCTATACTGTGGACATTTTAACAACTCGCCATCTCAGGAAGGCTGGAAGTATTTCTAGGGATACCAATCATCCTGGTTTCTCATTTTTTTCCCACCTTCGTATGGTAAGCGTTATAGGAGCATAAAGGCACGATCTTCCAGATTCAGTTTCTTCCCACAAGCTGTCAGATTACGTAACTCTACCCCTACCACTGGCTCACACTGATGTTTTTTTTCTCACACTGCTTGTCTGACTTTTTTTTATAGTTGTATGCTATTTAACTTGTTGCTGCTGTTCTGTGTGTATGTTTTTAGTGATCCCTTTAATGACTTTGTACTGGAGCATACATGCAAATAAGCATTTCACTGCACTTATGCATATGACAAATAAACTGAACTGAACATACTGTAACCTTATATATAACAGAAATAAAGACTTATAAGTAATTACTTGTTTGGTTTTGTCATCATTTTAATGGATGAATCTTACATTACAAATTTTCCAGTCAATGGCTATTACCCTATTAATGCAAAACCCCTGTTGTAACCAGAGATTTGTTAACCACAAATGTCTTGTGTTTCTCTATTCCTTATGTACAACTGCTAGACAACTCTCAAACATTGGAGATTGGTTTCTAGTACCTGTAACACTTCTACCTCTTAATTGCTAATATTTGTTATTGTAGAAGCTTGTCTTTCCTCAGCCTGACTCATGTTGTCAATTTCTTTCCTTGTAAATACCTCTATGAAAATCACTTCATCAACCATTTCCCTTTCTTCAACTACAGTTAATGTTTTCCTATTATTATCTTAGAGATGCTTTACTTCATCCTTTTGCGGTTGTAACACCAAGATTAAACATTTTGTAGAACTGATATCGATCTATTGTAATACTGATTTTGTTTCAGTTTACGCCCTTCTAATGTTTGAACCACATTTTTTAATCTCCTGGCCAAATCCCAGTAGGAACTCACTGAGATTGATATGATTTTGGGTGCAGATCTGA